GTAGTTTTCTATCATAATCGCCGTGGTTTGTGTCGGAACTATCCGAACAAGATATTTCAAACGTGAGGTCCAGTGTAGGTAGTATTCTACAATTAGCTGCCGTGGTGTGTCTCTGAACTACCCGAATAAGATGTCTCAAACGTGTAGAAAGTAAAATTTTCTTTGGTATTTCAATATACGAATGACGTCAGGTAGGCTCAAGCAATGGCTGAGTGCTAAGGCTCATAAAATAAATACATTTTTGCAGAAGACATTGAATATGTGACGTCATTGTTACCCTTGCTGTGCGAACCCCTCCAGTATCGTAATGAAGAAGCGAGAGAAACATCACGCCAAAATACAGTGAGTTTTAAACTTTACACTGGATAGCTTCATCACAATTCGTCAGTTCTTTGGCAGAAGTGCTCTTCCCAGAGTGGCGGGAAGGGTCAGCCCTTATTGGGCCAGTGTTGTTATGAGGAAACCTGAGAAAAATTGTGGAGTTTGGTTGAATCAAGCTGGAAGTACTCTTCTTACATGCCAATGAGGCAAACTTATAATCGGACAACTGCGTACCGAATAAACTGCATATATTAACAAATCGCTCTGCCACTAACACACATTAACAGTTAATGAATTTCTGTCTGTATCTTATATATGTTTCTTTGTAGTTGTTATCTGTGTTGTTATGTCTTCTCAATGAAGTTGTCACATATGTCGAACAACCTTTAAAGTGGCTGCAGATCTTCAGTGAGCATGCGCTGTTTGCAAACGTTGTTCAGATCCTGGACATTAATTTAAAGGTAACATGATAAATGTGATCCCCGATGCCTGCAGAGGAGACTAGATAAAGCTTCCCTAATCATTTCCAGTGGAGGATTTGTATGCGCTCTCATAAAAAGTAAACATTCTCTGCAGCAATAATCAGTGTCAGCTAGGGTATACTGAAATTAATTCGCTGGTATAATTTGTCTTGATGTCAGAATACTGCACACTTTGGCTGAGTAATCTGCACCCCTCTGACAGCTAAGACTTCTCTCAAGAGCTCTGACCTGTTTTACTGGTGAATGTATAGATAAAGGACTCGTGAACCAGGCACCTTGTGTTGGAACATGAAGGATGTAAATAAATAAATTGTTTTTAGAAAATGGAGAATATAAATGTTGTCGATGCTGCTCTTCATTTCATCTTGTCATTGTCCAAATATACTGAGGTAAAGTATTGATCGTATCGTAAATATGGATAAATGGAGTGGGGAGAGAAAGACACTCCTCTGAGATCGTACTAAACTAAGTCATACTAAACTAAGTGTATTCATACTGGATAACGTAACTCTTCATCCCTGATTGCTCCAGTGTTAGTACAGGAGGAAACCTACACTAAACTAGCTTTATTTATATACCAAATAACTCCATCATTTCTAAACTGTTCTTTCAAAATGTCCAGAAGAGTTGTCTCTTCATTATTGCTTCAGTGTTTCTAAAGGAGAAACTTGGAGAGAACCTGCAGTGTTTGATCAAATCTCTCGTGTGAAATGTGTAACGTATATCGTTGATTTTACCCAAGTGAAGACAGGTTGGTTAATATAATACCTCATTCTTTTCTCAAGGCGTCCCAGGCTCTTGTATTAAACAGCATTGTTCAACCTCTGTGCCTCGGAATGACCTCTTTACAAGAGAAAATGAGTACTTCAACACAGGTACAGAAATGATTTTGTTTACACTTTCTCGAACTGTATAATACCGTGATTTGTGTCATTATATTATCTATAATATGTCTTTATCAGAACCTTAGTGAATAGGCATATGCATTATGCGTTCTATGAAAAATGCGATTGAAGCAGCAAAGAGCATAAATATTCATCATTCATTTGTCGTCAAACAGTGTGATGAAGAGTTCCGTGATGACTGGCAGAAGATTTGGTGTCTGGGTGTAGTTGTGATGGCAAGCTTACTGGGTAAACTGCGATATCAGTTTCTCAAAGAATCTTTGGATTTTGTTGCCGTTCATCGTTTGAGACTGGTCCAGGTAGCCTTATTTTGTTCAATCCGAATCTACTTTAGTATTAGGTTAAGATTATCGTTAGCAGGGGTTAGGATCAATGTTAGGATTACGTTAAAGATTAGGAATGTGGGAATAAGGAATAGTTGTAGGGTGATTTAAATTATTTTTGAAGATTGACTTGATATTTTTTAGGCAATGGACATGATTCGCTTTAATCAATCTCCTTCATGTCTTCATGAGGCAGAGCATATTACGATGTTTTTGGTGGAAATGTCTGTTTATCGCAAAGAATGGCAGCTGGCCTTACCTGATGCCTTTCAACAAATATTATTTTCTTCAACTGTGCTCTTAGATACATGCGTATCGCTGCTAATAAGACCTCGACTTTTGGCGTATGTCATCGAGGTAGGAGAATTTTCTAATACCTCACAATCTTTCCTCGTTTTTGCATGATGATCACGTGACTGAACAATTCCGATACGTGCACCGTATCTTTCAACGCTCTACCGAGGTACTCTGGTTCCTCCCCCAGGGAATGTTGACAGGGTGGGTTGAGGTAAATCCCAAGCTCACCCCGGCCTTGCTCTGATCAAACACGAGTCATACTTTGGCAGCCACAGGCGCCTTTAGTAAAACCTTCGACTCGGGTTGAGTTGGCGTCCTTCGTAATTCAGCTCGATTCTCAGCTGCAAGTAAAGCCTAGTTTCCATTTGGTCGTTGGTTGTCGCTGGCACGACAAGTGGCTGATGTAATAGAGTGTCAACAAAACTTTACAAAACTCTGCAATCATTAAGACTTATTTGCATATAACACACAAAAAGATGATTATTATATTAGACTATTTCACATCTACCGCTTGTCGTGCCAGCGACAGCTAGAAACTAGGCTTAAGGGACGTTTGAGAGCAAACAACAGAACCCGAAGAAGAATCATTTTGTATTTTTGTTTCAACACAACTGGTCATTCTATCCTTATTGTCCTACAATGTAAAATTTTCTTTTCCCTGGCGTTTGTCGTTGATTTGACGTATGAACGTCAAGCTTAAACTGCTGTTAGTATAATCCCACTTAGTATGCAAGCACAAGTTTGTTCAACAGTATATTTAAACCGATTTACTCAATGATACACTTCAACTCTGAGCATTTGTTTGAACATTTACATTCCAGAAACCATCAGATCGTGACTCCCCGGATTCATCCGACGCCAGTTCGGCATCGAGTCGTAAATTGTCGTGTAGTTTCTCATCCACTAGTGAATTACTACGTCCCTATTCAACCCCAGATGAACCCTTGGAGAAACAGAATCCTAAAGTTATTGAGACGCAGAAAACGTAAGTACCATCAGCTAGAAAAACTGTATAGTACCATCAGCTAGAAAATCTGTCGTACCACCAGCTACAGAAGAAAATCTGTCGTACCACCAGCTACAGAAGAAAAACTGTAGTACCACCAGCTACAGTAGAAAAACTGCAGTACCACCAGCTACAGAAGAAAATCTGTAGTACCACCAGCTACAGTAGAAAAACTGTGGTACCACCAGCTACAGTAGAAAAACTGTGGTACCACCAGCTACAGAAGAAAAACTGTGGTACCACCAGCTACAGTAGAAAAACTGTAGTACCACCAGCTACAGAAGAAAAACTGTGGTACCACCAGCTACAGTAGAAAAACTGTAGTACCACCAGCTACAGTAGAAAAACTGTAGTACCACCAGCTACAGAAGAAAATCTGTAGTACCACCAGCTACAGTAGAAAAACTGTGGTACCATCAGCTACAGAAGAAAAACTGTAGTGCCACCAGCTAGAAAAAAATGTAGTACCACCAGCTAGAAAATCTGTAGTACCACCAGCTACAGAAGAAAAACTGTAATACCACCAGCTAGAACAAATGTAGTACCACCAGCTACAGTAGAAAATCTGTAGTACCACCAACTAGGAAATCTGTAGTGCCATCAGCTAGAAAATCTGTAGTACCACCAGCTAGAAAATCTGTAGTACCACCAGCTAGAAAATCTGTAGTACCACCAGCTACAGTAGAAAATCTGTAGTACCACCAGCTACAGTAGAAAATCTGTAGTACCATCAGCTAGAAAATCTGTAGTACCACCAGCTAGAAAATCTGTAGTACTACCAGCTAGAAAATCTGTAGTACTACCAGCTAGAAAATCTGTAGTACCACCAGCTACAGTAGAAAATCTGTAGTGCCACTTGTTCCTTGCTTCATACTGTATATAAGTATTTGGTAGCTAGTGTCTTTATTCTGAATGTTTTCCTCGTTATGTTTTACAGGTTATTACGAATAGTTTGCAATATACTTGGATTTCTCAAGAATTTCACTCCGAACATTTGTGAATTATTACTGGACGAAGGAATGGATATTGATGAATACACTCCGTTATTCAGTCTCGCATTTAGTGCTCCAGCTTTAGATAATGAAGGAACTCCTAGTTTTGGTACACTGCTATCCTGTCTTAATGTCTGTCTTGGCTACATGCAGGCGGTGAGTATCCTGCCCGCACAACGGCTGTAGTCGGCCGATACAGGTTGAAACGAAAAACAGTCAATGGTATGATATGTGGGCTCCTCAGTATTGGCTTCGTTAAATACCATGCAGCGTATGTGTCCGACTTTAACAAGAAATAAACTTGACTAAACTTTATTTGTACTCTACGCCTTTATTTGTACTCCTCCCTTGGCCATCCCTTAATTTATTGGTTATTGTTTGAGGCGGTAAAAGGAAATAAAACCTGTGGTGTTTGGTAGAGTGAAAGCATTTCTCTCACATGGGACTGAGATGGGATTATAATGAGACAAGCGCCTATTGCAGTCGTGAAAGACATGTGTCTGTGGAGACGTGGAAGACTTGTGTCAGAGGAGAGCCTTTTAAATGCATGACTATAACCGTTGCACAGCAAACACCCACAGATCAAACACTCAAACACCCACAGATATTTTTCAAGTACTTAACGTTTCAGCATGAATTATCACAGTAGGACATGACACTATGGCACATAAATAATTTCAGAGAATCATGAACGCAATATTTAATGAATTCTTGTATAGGCTGATCCAAGACCATTATCTTCGCCGGAAAAATCCCCTTGGAAATTTAAAACATTAAGTTCTGTTTTGCCCAAGTAAGTTCATTCATTTTATCATGATATGCAAAAGTTGCTTCAATGATCTCTTCCATGCTATCCATTGCTTTAAATAGTGTGTAAATTATACAAATAATTTCTTTCAGATCTTCGGTAAACTTCACAATGGACAACTCTATAATTCTCGTATTATCTCAAGCTTTACTTTATCTTAAAGACCCGCGTGTCGAACAAGCAAATAAACAACTTCTGAAGCGAAAGCTTGCCAGTGAGTTGGTAAGTGATGATATTGTTCTTATACTTAGTTTTCTATCGCAAGTAATTTATGGTAGCGATCATGCATAGTCCAAGTACTTTTCGATTCATGCCGGAATAAACGTCATAAGCTGCCCAGGCCTAGAAAATATATTTTTTTTCCTGGCAGCAAAATCCCAAAATAAGAAATTCCTGTGTGAACCGCCAGACATGGTAGTAAACTTAAATCTCTGCATGCACCAGACAAATTTGACTTGAAAACACTTTTGGAAGTCTTTAAACAATAAGCATATTATAAGATGACAAATTTATTGTCCAGCACTGAAGCTGCCTTCGTGTGTGCCTGCATAATCTGAGGCCGGTTGTTCAAAGCTGGGTTAGTTTAACCCTGGGTTAACCTAAAATTCAAAGCAAACTTCCTGACAGCTTGTCTATAAATTTGGAAATATTTCTTCAGAGATCTTGTCTGGATCGATAACAGTACTTCTCTGAAGTTTTGTAATAAACAGACGTGTAGAAATACACAAACTAAAACAGCAGGTTAAATTTTAACCCAGGGTTAGCGCTAACCCACCTTTGAACAAAACATCTGCTGTCATTTGAAAGTTAATTAAATTACCATGTTAGTCACGTCAGCGATGCTGTAGTTGTGATTAGCGCATGCGTGCATGAGACGAGATTCCTGGCGGAAAAGATGAATGAATAAAAAATGTCTTTGTTCGTTCAAGGAACCATTCCTTCGTGCTGCAATGCGTCATTTTGGAAGGCGTGGTTACACTCCCTCCCCAGGCTCCACACCAAAATCAGCCAGCTCGGTTCGTCGTTCCTTGAGCCGCGCAAGAACTGAGCAGTGGGAGACTGGAGACCATAAAGATGTGAAATTATTTAAATTGGTAGATATATTTGTCAAAACGCTGATTCAGTGACGAAACGAGGTATCATTTACACTTGTAATTTATGCCAATAATTGACCCTGCCAGATATGTACAGGATAAACGCCGAGAAGGAGGGATTTATGTTAGATAATGACCCGGGGACGCTGGCGTCCGAGGGCATTTTCTGACATAAATCCCTCCTTCTCGGTGTTTATCCTGTACATAAATCATACTTAATATATCATGGACACGGTTGCCAAGTCCCCAATCTATGTTTGCACAAAATGCTTTGGCACATTAATTCTTCATGATTTTGACAACAGTATAGGACACCAAATACTATGAACAGAGTCTTAAATAGAACAGTATACATATTATGAACATATCCTTAGATATATATCACCGAAATGTACACTACATTTTTTTCTGTAAAAATTCTTTTTTTTTTCAAACCTGTAATGGTGTATGTAACATATTCTGTACATTCCAACTCAGTAGTGCAGCAGACTTTCTCTATTATGAACTTGTATTCTATTATACATGTATACTCTGTCACTTGAAATACCTATGTGAGAATGTGAAAGTCTGATTTCAACATGAAATTCAATTTTAAAATGTACTTCAACACACATTAGGCCTATAATTTAACACTAATTTCTCAAATTTTTAGCAGACATATACGAGTCAGTATTGAATAAATTATTAATAAAGTAAAGCCGCGCATATATTAACGCGACCTATGCGAAGCCTTATCCTTATACACAGGACATTAAATATTCACTTGACCTATGCAAATATTTGGTTTCTGACCGCGTCTGTGCGGAAATTTGAAGTTTTTTCAACAACATTTTGGAGTCGAAATCCTTGTTCATGAAGCTGTTCACGTTCGCTATCTTTGTTGAAAGTCATTTGGAAGATCGATGATGTCTTTTGAAGAGAATTTAGAAACACAAGCCTTGTCAAATATAACCTTTGATAGCTTGTAGGCGTGGCTTGTGATCTCTCTTGATTCGCGGCATCTCGGCTTGGATTACTTTAAGTTGCCTCGCGACCTGAGAACGCGGTTGTCCATCCTGCTCTGGCTGTATCGTCAAGTTTTTCATCAATCAAGGTTAGTTTTGGATCTTTTTATCCCATAATGTCACCATATCATTGTTTTATTCAACATAAGCCAAAAATATTAATAAAAGCATCTTTCTAAAACATTTATTAAAGCCACAGATATTTTACATCGTACGAATGATTACATTTTTTTAATATGTCTGAAGGATATTTACTTTAACCTTTGCCTGTTCAGTACGTAGCACAAAAGTGACCAAACAAAAGGTTCGTGTTGTAATATAGTGGGAAAAACTGACTAGTATGTTTATGTTGAGGGAAGCTTTTTACAACATCGTATAGAACTTTTGCACTCAGTATGTGTCAATCATTTGAATATGACTTTGTGCATGTATGTTGTATTTAAGAGCTTAATGTCAGCTGAAAACTAATTGTCATCAGTTATTGGAATTTTTGCATTCAGTAGACGAGACAGTGTACGTGTCGATCAATTGAATATGACTTTGTGCATCTACCTTGTATTTAAGAGCTTAAGGTCAGCTGAAAACTTGCCATGGTGTTTGATTGGGTTTGACTTTAATATCTAACATTGTCTAACGGGGATGCAAATCATATTCAATTGATTGACACAAATGATTTCTCGCGTGCTGTATGCAAAAATTCCATTTGCTGTATACAGCAAATGGAATTTTTGCATACAGCACGCGAGAAATCATTTGTGTCAATCAATTGAATATGATTTGCATCCCCGTTAGACAATGTTAGATATTAAAGTCAAACCCAATCAAACACCATGGCAACATTACCCAACATAGTGTTGAAACGCGGGCAACAATGTTACATCCAAAGATGTTGCAGCAACATATTGATGCAATCAAAGACCATGGCAACATTACCCAACATAGTATTGAAACACGGCCAACAATGTTACATCCAAAGATGTTGCAGCAACATATTGATGCAATCAAACACCATGGCAACATTACCCAACATAGTGTTGAAACACGGCCAACAATGTTACATCCAAAGATGTTGCAGCAACATATTGGCCTCGTTTCAACGGGTCTAGGGACTCCATGTTTATATGCAACTGAAAACGTGGTCTCGTATTGACGTTTCTACACACACATAGCATTTGTGAACAGCTGTGAAAAATGTACAAATATTTCATGACAACTTCACTGAGTGGGGGTGGATCTTGTTGTAACACTTGACCTTATGCATGAAAAGCATTGCTAGGTTATCAGTGGCGACTTCTATAGGTAGCCATTTCGTTAATTTTACAGGTTTAATTAAAGAAAATGTTTTTACACGGTCCAATTTTACCCAGCTGCGGTTTATATTTTACGTTGCTAATGCACCATTTAATCCTACATTTAAGAATTTAAAATATTTTTCCCTGAAAGAATAATAACATGGGTGGATTAACATGATAATATAGCATAATAGTTTTGCAGTTTTAATGCAAGGAATTTCGCCAAACTACCGGGTGTCCCAAAAAAAAGTACTCCGGTTTGATTTGTAATAACTTCTACACAAGTAAAGCTTTTAAAGAGAAATAACTTACATCAAATAGAGGAAGGACTAACTTAGATTTTGATACATTACAGTTGTATTTCACTTAAAAATGTTCCGAGATATTATTGTTTAAAATCCGGAGCATATTTCTGGATGTGTCTGAAATATGCAAAAAACGGCGTATCAAATATTAATCAAGATTTTCCCGACTGAAACATGCACTAGTATTATTATCTACAAAATACAAGCAAGATTTATTCGTCCGAAATCCGCGTGCATGTGTTCCTAGCACGAATTAATACTTTCTTTATTTCATGAGACCACTGGCACTGCATCGCGAAAGATCGACATGGACTGTACGTAGTTCTGAATTAAGGCATACTGTCACAATGGAATTGTGAAGCTCTTATAACTTCTGCAATGTTCTGAAATCTTGTTAAGAACACCCAAACTCCTTTGCCTTTTCTTAATCTTGGCAAGTTCAGAATAAACTGAGAATGAAAAACACAATCAAACCATACAACTCCATAAGACATAACAATCAACTCCCCAGAGACATCCAACATTTTTTGGAACAAAACGTAACAAGATAGTAGCGTTGATACTGTGATGTGTATTTGCAAAAAGCAATATTATTTCCTTCACTAAAGAATAATATTCATCCTGCTCTAACCGAGAAATAATCAACTCTGTTTTGAACTCATGAAAAACATAAAAAAATTAGGTTATTTGAGAAAAATTTAAGCGCCTGCCTTGCATGGTCTTTTTCATGTACCTTTAAGTTTGTAAAGACCTATTAAATACTTGCATAATTTCGAACGTTCATATTTCAGGAAACAATGAGCTAAGACTTACATGTAAGATGTCTAAATCTACGCCATATCCCTTACAAACCCTAACGACAATTCGCTGAAATACAAGTTAGCCTTATATGTCATTAAGCAAACAAACGCTGGAGTTAATATTTGATATGGCGATTTTCGCTAATTTTAGACACATCCCAAAATATGCTCCCGATTTTGAACATTAATATCTCCGTGAATTTTTAGGTAAAATACAACTGTAATATATCCAAATCTAAGTTAGTCCTTCCTCTATTTAATGCAAGTTATTTCTGTTTGATAGCTTTACTTGTTTAGAAGTTATTATAAATCAAACCGGAGTACTTTTTTTTGGGACACCCGGTATACGTAACTTGCCAAGATCAAGTTCGGTTTTTGGCAAAGCAAGAAAACACAGGTATTTCATAACATTCCTTCTGTTTTAACGAAGAACACTCAATTCAATCTTCTCTCTTGACACACTCAACTTTATATAGTCGCATTATTAGCAGCTGTGAAAGATGTACAAATGTTTATGAGAACGTGTCCAGTAGGAGATAGGAAGAACAGTTTAGATCTGAGAGCTATCTATTCTATGAATAATGTTGGTAGGTTGTCAGTGACGACTGACGGCTTTTATATGTATAGCCAATTTGTGAATTTCAAGGAAATGTTTTACGATCGTCGACCAATTTAACAGTTCGGTATGTACATTTGCTATACCTAAATTAATAAAATTACAAATATTTTTCATATAGAAAGAAGAATAACACTGCTTTTTCGTCTAACATTTATACCAGATATGTACTGATAGATTCGGACTTAAAAATTTAAGATTGGACGTCTATGTTTTTAAGCAGATGTACTATGACGTCTATAAACGTTTATACCGGATGTGTCGATTGTCTTGATTAATCCGTACTTAAACCTGAAAATGTTTTTTATGTTTGTGATATGCTGTATGACTTGATGACATTTTAATCATTATTCGGTATTCTTAATTTGTTATAACTCTGCACTCCAAAGACACCCTGCTCTCCTGGTTAACCCATAGGGGTTAACCTAGTTAGTTTAGACTTTAGTTAGTCTGGTTATATTGCGCAATATTATACAGGAATCAAACGCATGTATATATCATTATACCACACGCAAAAACTCGTCGGGCGATTTGTAAGCCCAATTTTTGTCAGCGAGTGGAAGTTGCCATCCCAGAATATCTCCTCGACCGAGGTGAATTTATCACAGGCAATTTATTTTGTTCTATTTATAACAAAGACATTCTGATCACTACATGATAAAAATGTCTTCTGTTCTCTGTCTACAAATTCTGCTCAGAAATACTTCCACAAGCAGAAAAGTTTGCTTCAATAAACAAAATTCTAAGTAAAGTAATGACCCTTGGTTTTAAAATCACTTTTCACCTATTCACAAAAGCTTTGTTTTGAACAGTCTTTCGAGTTCAAATCTTATCAATGACAACTACATCTCATTATATAACACATTGAGACGTTAATGTGAAGTGACATCGGTATTGTTCGCTGCAGGTGCTGCAGGGTATCGCTAACATTCGGAGTGTTTCGTTGCTTCTCGTAATGTATAACATTACATGATAGGGATATAATAAAGCCTTTGTTTGCTCACGACCAACTGAGTTTTCATATGAGCCGGGATAACGAAATTTGTTTCCTGTCCATAAAACTTGAATGAAATTTATATTGTGGCAATTGATACCCCAGGCGGAAATCTTAGTTTAAAGATAAAGAGCAGAGCCCAGCAAATAACTTTAAATCCAAACACTGAAATCCAGCTAAGCTGATTCAACTTGACATGTCATTTTGGACGTTCATCAAATCCTAGACTACGACATAGTCTGTGTGTAATGTGATAAGTGCTAAGAGCGTCTGTGACGCAGGCTAATCAAATCCGTGATAAGAGCTTTATTAACGAATCACTCCGGGGGCCAGCCGGGCCCAGCCCTGCGCATGCTCCATATGAACACCCCCTAATTGTTTCCCTAATTGAGAGTTTCATAACAAACTTATCTTACGTTAAGCTTTTGAAATCCAAACGTACATAAAAGTTATTTATATTTACCCAATCAAGTTTACTGTAGGCTTTCACGCATTTAAAATCCATTTTCTCGTTTACTTAATATTATTTAAAGTTTAGCAAGATCTTATAAAGACAGTGGTCATATATATATATATACACATTTTATCATCATTTGAGGGATTGAATTGTGTGTGGCAGTCATAATTAGCTCTACCACATCTGCTCACTTGTGTACCATGAAACGTCAATTCAGAGACAAAATATTTGAATAATTGAAACCAAGTGAACTGTTTTGGGGATATATTCAATTATAACAGTAAAGCAAACAAGAATTAGAGTAGAGAGTTTGCACGACAGTTGAATGGATATCAGCACTAGTGGCGTATAATTAGCAGTGGCGTAGCGCTCATTGGGTAGGGTTAGTTCCAAAACTAAGGGCCCCCGACAGTTAGGGGCTCCATCACCCACGGCCTATCGCCCAGAAAATTAGAAAATGTAAAAAATGCAGGTTAAGAATCAATGGGAAAATGCAAAATTAATAATGCTAAATAATATTAAACCTCCATCGGCAACGGTAGCTGATTTTTTAGTCCATCTCAAATAAAACAAAAGTTATTCTTATTAGAAGTTACATGTGTTGGAGACTGTTATTGTTATAGAGACGGAATTTTTCAGAACATTCTATAAATATTCAATATAAATATATTATCTCAGTCAAACAATGACAACAGTCAACAGGGGCCCCCACACCGAATATGCCTAAGGGCCCCCTCTTCCCCCGTTACGCCACTGATAATTAGGGATCCCTGAGCAAAAATGTGAAGTAGGGAAGTTTTTCAACAAACTGTACATATTCTTACCCCCCGTCAGCAGTTTGCATGAGCAGGGCAAGGAGTACTCTTCAATTTAAACCGGCGGAGCATTAGGACAACGTTACGTCACTGAATACCACGAGTAACAAAAACTCGTCAAAATTTGAAGCATTTCAAAATGAGTCGATGGTGAAACGCGAGCAATAGTTGCAACTCTCATAACTCTCATCCTCGTTTGACCAGGCGCTAAGATAATGATTATTTTTCGTCTCATTTATAATTTCATTGAATTCATTGCGGACTATGATTGCTCTTGTTTTCATTCATTTAATGTTGGCGAAGAATGCCATTGAAGATTTTTTCGATTGCTTTACCCGTTGCGAAGTTATTGCGGTTTTATTACGGAAATCGTCTGTTTCTCTTCAGATTTGAATCTGAAAATGAAATCACGAATGTGAAAATGAAATGGTTTAGCTTATCATGATAAGTTTTCTATATTTTTTATTGAAGAATCTATTAAACAATACGAACAATGTCTGGGGCTGATGTTAAATGTGGACCTCACTTGAAAAGTATCGATGAGTTGACTGGGTACCCTCTGTTTCCAGAAGGAACAAAATCTTCGGCGGCTCGCTTCAACACCCGCGAAATCTGGAAGAAATATCACGACAAAAAAGATGCTTATGGTGTCTCCTACAAGCTCTGCCTTTTCTCTGGAATCAAGAATCTTGACTCGGGAATCGGCGTGTACGCGGGCTCTCACGACAGTTACCGAACCTTTTCCGATCTTATGGATAAGGTAATCGAGGATTACCACAAACATAAACCAGATGATAAGCACGTATCAGATATGGACGCAAGCAAGCTTAAATGTCCACCACTCCCCCCGGATGAAGCCAAGATGATTGTATCAACACGTATCAGAGTTGGTCGAAATCTGGAGGGGTACCCCCTGGCCCCCGGGGTAACGAAGGAACAGCGAGAGGAAATTATGGGAAAGGTACGTATCCGACTACTTTTATGTCTATTTCCAACATGAGCAGGCGATATGTCTGATATACGTCTTGATGAGAACATTCGTATTCTTCAACAATTGAAAATAAATGAGTGATTTTGGTTGAGAAAATTGAACTTAACGTTATGTAAATTAGCATGATTCTGTATCAGATATACAACAAACTCCTTCACGAGCATGATTTCTTTGTGTTTTCTCATGAATTATTGATGATTTCACAACATATCGTACTTGCACGTTGTAACAAATTTCTTCTTACTTGGCCTTTAGGCTTTTTAATCCTTTTTAAATAACTAAAGTTCTGCCAAAGTTGCATTCTTCATGTATCAAAAAATCCTAACTTTGTCACGTTTTGTAAAGGTGGTTCAAGCATGTAACACATTCAAAGGAGATCTGAAAGGAACTTTTTATCCTTTGGAAGGAATGGATGAAAAAGTTCAGAAACAATTGATTGCCGATCATTTTCTCTTCAAGTAAGTCTACCTGGTTTTTTCCCCGCCTCCC